AGCCTGGTGGGATTTGAACAGCCGAACTGCTGAACTGCAGTCAGCTGAAGTAGCCTGCAGTGCTGCATTTAACCACTGCGCCACCGTGGCTCATATGGAGAGAGGAAGGAAGGAAATGGAGGGAAAGAAGGAAGGAGAGGTAGAGAAAGGATGATGGAAGGAAGGGAAGGAAGGAAGAGTTAGAGGAAGGAAGGGAGGAAACAGGGAAGGAGGAAGTTTTTTTCTCTTCATGACTAGGTCATCAGAGATGTCCTGCTTCTGGCGTGATGAGTTCATGAAGGAAGGGAACATCAAATTGACTCAACCATGTTGTAGGAACATCTGGTGATTCTCCTGACGTTCAAATCCATGGACGAGAGATTTGGGGGACGCAAAATCAGCTCAGCCATTTCCCACTTCCCTCGTTACAAAAACTGCGGTCTGGCCAACCTTGTACCGATGGTGCAACCAGCCCCTATCCCCCCCACCCCCCCACCCAGGGTCACTTCAACCTGCAAAGCCCTGGAGCCCAGGAGCCCATCAGCTTGAAAGCATCCGTAGAGCGTCCCAACGAAAAATATCTCCTCAGCCAGATAAAGCAGCCCTGGGCAGACGGCCCTTCACCCAGAAAAGCCCCTTCTCCCCCTCATCCTGGCCTTTGCTAGGCCAGGCCAACAGCGACCATAAACAGCCCCCTTCCCTTTCTTGTCTCAAGGATCTTCGCTTCTGCAAACTTCGCTGGCCTTCAGAGATTTCCAAGAACCGTCAAACAACGGCAGGAGAAGCCATTGACCACAAAATGGGAACTGGGGGGACAGCTGGTGTTTAACGTCCCATGAAAAGACACCCAATATGGGGTGATCCAGTGGCAGAACTCCATGGACTGCACGGTGTTGGGGTGGAGATGGGGCAGACCAAGGAAATGATTCCATCTTGCAGCAAAAGGGGTTCTTGTTTGGAAAAGGCAACTGGACTGATTTTCTGAGGAAAAACAAGAGGTTTTGCTTCCTGTCCCGGAAGCTTAACTTCCATCTCCCACAGCATCCAATAGAACTGAGGAAGCTTCTGGGACAGGAAGTGAAATGTCTTGGTTTTTCTCAGAAGATACATCCGGTTTATTTTCAAAATAACCAGTATGATCTGGATAACTGAGGCTCTTTGTAGACGTACTTCCATCTTGGCTGATGAGGGTGATGCTGTTCCATGCAGAATCACAGAATCACAGTTGGAAGGGTCCTTGGAGGTCTTCTAGCCCAACCCCCAGTTCAAACAGGAGATCCTATATCATTCCAGACAAATGAAATGTCTGAATCTCCTCTTAAAAGCCTCCAGGGATGGAGCAGCCACAACTTCTGGAGGCAAGTTGTTCCACTGATTAATTGTTTTCCCATTGTCAGGAAGTTCCTCCTTAGTTCTAGGTTGCTTCTCTCCTTGATTAGTTTCCACCCATTGCTTCTTGTCCTGCCCTC